TCATATCACAATTTGCCCACAGGCCACAACCAACTCCAAAAATACAACAAAATTAATTAATTTCACAGCAAATAGCCCAAGGCTCCACACATCATATATAAAACCTCAAAACAACAACTGAGATGGAAAAGTAACTCGGAAAAGGACAACGCCTTCTTTAATCCAAATTTTTGATATATATATATATATTAATGCCTCATTTTAAAATTATTTAATAATTATTTACAGATAAGGAATCCATAATGAAATTATTTCCAAGAAACGTCAACCCAACTAACCACGGTAATTCACATAAAAATTAAAGTGACAATCACACCAAAAGTATCATATAAAACCAACCTCGACAAACAAGGAATAAGAGATGACAAATACAGGATTTAGTAAGTGCCAATAATTTCCAATTTAATACATAAGGGCGTCTACAAATTTTAACCGATATAATTTGCCCATATAAACCAAGTACGTATTCTTCACCTCGCGTACATGGTTTTCAATTACACAATTTCTACATAAGACTCAATGCCTAAGGGGTAATTTTCCCCACTCAAGGTTAGGCAAGATATTTACCTTAACAGAGTTAGGCCGATATCCTAAAATAGTCTTTTTGCGTGAACGACGTTCGGACGGCTCCAATCTAATCAAAACAAAATTATAAAATAATTACAATTCATAGAAAATAATTTCGGATAATAATACGTCGATTTCTAATTTTATTCTAAAAGTCAACCGAAAGTCAACGCGGGACCGCCTCTCGGAATCCGACATAATTTTCACGAAATCTGAACGCCCATTCCGATACGAGTTCAACCATACCAATCTTATCAAATTCTGATAACGAATCGAATTCCAAATCTTAAATTTTCTTTTTTGAAAAGTTTTACAAATTTCTCCAATTTCTTCCATTTGATTCACTAATAATTGATGAAAATAACCATGAAATCATGAAGTATAATCACTTTTGGATATAGAACAATTACCCCAATCCATATGGTAAAAATCGCCTAAAATATCGCTTCAATCTGAGCTCCATAGCTCCAAATATGTTAAAATGGCCGAAACCCCCATTTTTAGAATTTGTCCAGGCAAGTCGCATTTAACATTTGAGACTTATAAATCGCATTTGACACCTGCGATTTGCTTCAGCTCCAGAAAAACTGCAGTCTTTCCCGATTTGGAAATGAGTATAACACTCTCATACGATGTTCGAATGATAAATGGTTTAACTTTCTGAAAACTAGACACCAAGGGCTATAACTTTTATGTTTTTCTCATCTCCCAATTCCTTCTAAATGGTGAAATAGAAGCTCCCAAAGTCAGTCATGTGCAGCAGAAATTTCTTCTTCGCGAATTCAAAACTCTTCCCAGACAGCCTATAGTTTATCTACTATAACTTTTGGTACACAATTCTAAATGCCAAGCAATTTAAATTTTTGAAAACTAAACACAAAGGGCTACAATTTACGTTTTTGGATCATCTCTAAATTCTATATAGATTGCGAGATATAAGCTTTCAAAGTCAGCCCTATGCAACAGAAATTTCTCTCGATGCACACTGCTGTAGCCAAAAACCAGCAATTAAAAATGGCCAAGAAATTGTCTGAAACCACTCCGAAACTCACCCGAGCCACTCGGGACCCTGTATGAATATACCAACAAGTCCCATAATATAATACGAACTTAGTCGATACATCAAATCACATCAAGCAACACCAAAACAACGAATCGCACCTCGAATCGAACTTATGAGTTTATGAAATTTTCCAAATTCTATATCTTGTGCCGAAACGTATCAAATAAATCCGGAATGACTTTAAATTTTGCATGCAAGTCATAAATGACATAATGGAGCTATTTCAATTTCCAGAATTGAATTACGACCCCGTTATCAATAAAGTCGACTCCCGGTCAAACTTTCCAAAAATCTTCTATTTTCCAACTTTTGCCAAAATGCGCCGAATTGTCCTACAGACTTCTAGATCCAAATCCGGACATGCGCCTAATTTCAAAATCACCATACGAAGCTATTGGAATCATCAGAATTCCATTCCGAAGTCGTTTGCTCAAAAGTCAAATCTCGGGTCAAACTTTAGAAATTCAAGCTTTATAAAATCAAACTTTTTTTTTTTCAAAAACTAACGGAAAACGTGTCTACGCACCTCAGAATAACTTCAAATTTTGTACATAAGTTAAAAATATTGTTATGAAGCTGATCGAATTTCGGAATCCAAATCGGGACCTGGTATCAATAAAAATCCAATTATGGCCAAATTTATGAATTCTTTAAACCTTTAAATTTCTAGTTTCCATTAGATGGCGATAATTCAAGCTAGGGACTTCCAAATTTGATTTTGGACATACGCCCAAGTACCAAATCATGATACGGACCCACTAAAATCGTCAAAACACCGATCCAGGTCCGTTTGTTCAAAACGTTGACCAAAGTCAACTCAAATGAGTTTTAAAGACAAAATTTCACATTTTCTTTGTTTTTTCACATAAAAATTTTCCAGAAAAAGATACTGATTGTGCACTAAATCGAGGAAGGCTGAATGGAGCTATTCAAGGTCTCAAAATATATAAATGAAGGTTAAAATTAAAAATGACCTATCAGGTCATCACATTCTCCATCTCTAAATCAAACGTTCGTCCTCGAACGTGGCTAGAATTATTTTGTGGTTATCAAATTGCCAATTTTTCTCTTACACATATACTCGCGAGTGATTCTACGTCACCGCAATCGACATATGTCTGACAACACCATCTCAATTGAGATTATTTCTTTTATCCATATTTATAACTTTTAAACCATATTTCTTACACTCCAAACATTTTCAAAAAGTCCGATTTTCAATCAACGCACGGTATTAGCTTCAACCGGCGGTAGCAACTCATGCCTATGCGCACATCATACGTATGCCCATAACCACATCTCTGATCTTAATAGTTGTTCATCATCAATTACAGCATCGTCAATTAACCTCATGTTAACAAAAATCTTGTTTCAAACCTTCACCTTACTAACAACGAGACACGAGACATGAAGACCTCATAATTATTTACCCGAATTAATGAGTCACATTTAATGCCACCTGGGCACCCACCTCGTAGGTTAAAACTCAATAATTACAACACGAATATGGCTAAATATGCACAGAAAAACACATACAAGATTTTTCAAATATGCCTAACAGACATGACTCCCCATTGGAATCATAGTACCATTTTAATTTAACAAAGGAAGAAATTAAAATACATGAATTTAACCACAAGGATCTCATCTTGATATAACTTCCACCGCGGCACATGGCCCGGTTCAAACATATCAAAATCACATGAAAACGCGAGGACCCCATCCTTAACCCTGAATCACAAGTACTTTGAACATTATGCCAACTGACGAGCTTAAAACACACACTAAAATATGCTCACTAGTCGAATATAGTAAATTAAAATATCGTATCCACAGGGATTGAAGTTAAACAGTATTATTGTAATTTATAGCTAGATTTCTATCCAAGATGATCAACAATTTAGGTTTATGTGATTAAAACTAAAGTTTACTAAGAGTCTTAACTAATTGACTAATGACAACCAACACAAGTATTAAGCAAAGGAAGTTATCAATGGGGAGAAGATAGAGTTGATAGGATAGGTGCAAGATAACTATTTGGGATTTAACTCTACATAATTCATTTCTAATGTTCAAGTGAGTCTCTCGAATTCACTTGGTTATTAGTTCACTTGATTAGCAGAAATTCCTCTCTCGATTAAGTTTCAACCTCACAAGATGAACCAATTTTAAGCATCTGAAAATATGCAAGAATTCGTAGCGGATTGGTCTTTAGGAAAACCTCTCTCGATTATCCTCCTAACTAAGTTTAATCAACAATTCAACTAGCCTCTTCCGATTACTAAGAAGAATTAATGACTTCAACCAACAAAATATAATGCAACAATACCACAAGTTATGCCTCTCTCGATTACACAAACAAGTGAATATAGATGCAACAGCTAAAACATCCAAAACGATTCAATACATAAAATTAAAATTAATTATCCACAAACAAGTATCAATACACCAAATCCATCAAACCCTAAAGAGAACTACTCCATGGATATGGAGTAATTCATCATAACAATATTTAAAATAGAACGGTACGGCATCACCCTTCATGCATTTACTCTCAACCTCACCAAATAATTAAATAGAACGGCACGGCATCACCCTTCGTGCATTAAACCTTTCATAATATACACGACATCATCCTTCGTGCTTTAAACTCTTCCTCACAATATAAATAATACATGCACGGCATCACCCTTCGTGCTTTACACTCCTCCCCACTAATCACAGAATCAATAACAACGGATAGATAAGAGTATCACAAAGAAATCAGTATTTTTCCCATAATCAATAGCACAATGTAATCTCAACCTTTAATCAATATTTTAAAGTTACCAAATCTCAGTGAAACCAGATGTGAGTCACCCAACATTTCAAATAACCCGCTAAGCATGAATGGTCGAGTAAGTGCTTGCTCGAACTCGAAATAAAAGTAGCTCGTAGGCTTAGTCGTCGAGTGAATGATTCGAACTCGAAGTAATGTAGCATGTAGGCATAATGGTCGAATGAGTGCTTGCTCGAACTCGAAATAAAAGTTGCCCGTAGGCTTATTAGTCGAGTGAATAATTCGAACTCGAAGTAATGTAGCCCGTAGGCATAATGGTCGAGTGAGTGCTTGCTCGAACTCGAAATAAAAGTAGCCCGTGGGCTTATTATCGAGTGAATGTTACGAACTCGAAGTGATGAGAATTCACGGGCTCCTACGAGTACCCGATGTTTATTTTATTTATTTAATGGGATTTATGATTTCAGAATTTTTAAAATGAGTAGTAATTAAGTCGATAATTTGCCGTTGGCTGACGTTGGGCGCCATCATGGCCTTTAGGGGTTTTTGGGTCGTGACAAAAATGATGAGATTTATTTTCTTTTTGTATAGGATGTGCATTTTCAATTTATGAATACTGTGAGGGTTTTGGAAAAACCATTGAACTTTACGTATAAACATTGGAGGGGAGATAATAGAACTACATTGGATGGGACGCTGATGATTGACTCAACTAATAATTTATCGGCTAATTATGGATTTGATTCTGGTAACTGCAAGTTAAAGTATAGTTACGTGCATAGGGGATTGACTACTTTCGAGCCAAGCTATGATTTTGCCAAAAATTCGTGGGACGTCTCTGTGTCACAGCGGGTTTATGAAGACGATGTGGTCAAGGCTTCGTATCAAAGTTCAAGCAAGATATTGGGGCTGGAATGGTCTAGGAATTCCAGTTTAAGTGGAGGGTTTAAGGTACTGTACTGTTTCAATTTTGACTTGCGCATTGTAGTGGTAATGAATGCGGTTCTATCCTCTCATTGAACTAATGGAATTTTTTCTATTAAGATTCCTTTCGAGTTTAATTCTTAATGCATGAAAATTGTTAACACCAAATGAAGATGAATAGTTTCTTGAAGTGGATTATTTCCCAGTTATATCTTTTTGGTTCTGTTTTCGACTTGCTATGTGAATTCACATTTCTAGCTAACATCTTCTGGTTCTGAAATTGAAAGTCATTCAAGCTTAGCAACTCAATTTTCATGTTGTGACTTGATCCTTTAATTAGTTTTGAAATTCTAATTGAATGTGGAACTAGATTTAAACTTAATAACTACCCTAGAATTGGACTAGAATAAAAGCGTCCTTTTAGCTCAATTCATTCCATCCTTCTATACAGTTAAGTAGACTGATACACAATATTTCAACATTCCTTTAATCATGTTTTTTGTTTCCTGGTTTATTGTGGCTAAATTCAAAGACCTAAATGACCACTACCTCCATAACGACCTGGTGGTTCAATGCAATTGGCTCCGTGTGTTGTGTTTAACAATTTAGTATTATCTTATAATTGTAATTATTATGATAGAATTGTTATGGGAGTTATAAATGAAGAATGTGGTTGTTACAAATTAATTTTGTGGTTACCACATCACACTTGAAAAATTCCTACTGTATAATTAGGCTTCAGTGGTAGCGATTCTACAATAAGTCATATTGTTAGTTTCTTTTCTGTTTATTATTATTAAAATTTAATACTAGTTCCATACACAACATAATGCCTGTACTTGAGACACGAGACATTTAGTTCTTTGTGTGATTTGGTCCATGATATTGTGTGCCTTCCCTCTCTCTTGTCAAGCATGTAGCTTCTCTTAGTTTGGCTGATTTATCAAGTAGGGAAAGAAAAAGGCAAACAGGCCTCATGTTTTGCATGATACTACTTTTTTGCAACTTCTGGTTTTGACACTAAAAGTGATCTCCGAAATAATACCACCATTTGATCTTGACAAGTCAACTTTTTATAGTATTGATATTGCTTTCTATCTTTCTCTTAGCTATATAATAATGTGGTTATCCTGCCTTGTTGTGTTGTGATATGCTGATGTTTCTATTCACTATCTAATTGTGTGTATATGAAGTAGCTTTAAAATATAGCTCTGTTCATTGCATGTTAAATTTCCTTTTGAAATTCCGTTACTAATGTGTGGTTTCTCTTTTTGTTTGCTAGATCTCTGCGTCTGTGAATCTGGCAGAAAACTCAAAGTTTCCAACATTGAGTGCTGAGAGTAGGTTGAATTTTGATGTGTAGCTTGTAAACCTCTGCGAGATTATACTTCAGGTGCCACATTTGGGCCAGCTTGGTCACGCATACTGTTTTTGATATGAATCAAAAAAGAAAGTTGTTGTCCTCTCATTTGAATATTTCTCCATTAACGAATAATATCTCTCTTTTTGTGGCTACATAGCTGAAATTACATGACTTAAGCAGCATTCCAATTCTGCATATTGATACATTTCAATGAACTGGTGGGAGATGGATATACTTTTATGAGTGCAACTAGATCACCCCCTTTCTTATTTGTTGGTACGACATCTTACTTGCCAGCGATATAGTTTCTTTAGAGCAGACAATCAATCTGAAGCATTTGTAACGCACCATACTTTTGCTTAACGCTGGACACGATCCTTTCACTGCCAGAATATTTGTGACTAGTTTATGAGGTCGAATGGCATGAGTGTGAGCTTTTACCGGATCGTGTATTTGTTATATATATAGCTACCCCTTTTTTGCTTTGATTCACATCTATTTGCTTAAAAAGAGCGGGTAATATTAGTGAGGCAGGAGGTTAAACCATTAAGGTTATGCCAACTTGTGAGTATATCATTAGAATTCTTTGGACGGCTGTTATACAAACCCAAGTTGATTTGGAAGGTCTTGGAATCAGCTTACAATTAGAACTCGCGAGCATCAGCTCATGCTCATTCGTACCATCATTGAGCAATTTATAGCTCAAAGAAAAATGCCTAAAATGGTTAATGCACTGACGTCTCAAATTCATGAATCTGTATATATTTTGGTTTAGGAGTCCCCTATTTGATTCAATCTATACTATGGATACATGGGCGGATCTATTGTCATGATCCCGGGTTCATCTGAACTCATTACTTTTATGTGGAACATAAATCTATATGTAAAATTTCAACAAATAGTAGATATAAACCTATAACTTTAAAAATATAATAGGTTTAATGTTAAGAAACTTAAAAGTTGAACCTATAGAATTCAAATCTTGGATCCTCTTATGTATGGATAACAATAACAAAATATCCAGTATATTCCAACATGTGGGAGTCAGCCTGACGCACAAAGTATTTCGCGTTCAAGCAGGGTCCGGGGATAAGTTGCACCCCAAGGGGTGCGATATATAGACAGTCTACCCTATTGCAAGCATTAGTGGCTGCTTCCACGATTTGAACTCGTGAACTATAGGTCACACAAAGTTTACCGTTGCTCCAACGCCCCCTTCAAATGACTAATTTGAGTAGTTTTCAAAGTTTAATTAGACTTACAATTTTAGTTACTGTTTAAATAGTATATAAAAACTTAGAAATTACGCAAAAAGTTCGGTATGTGAGGCAGCTTTCGACAACCGCATTTCTAATTAATCCATAATAAATTAGCTTACTTATCCCTTAGTGATGGCTAGTTGATTTGGAGGGAGGTATCTATACATATGACCCGGAATCGATCCTTCATCAATGTTTTTTGGGTCGAGCCTGTCGCACAGATCATGCCTAGTGCGACTTACATCCCCTATGTGGTTTGTAGGCAATTACACAGTGAGGGATTTCCCTAGTGCGCACAAAATGCTCATCACAAAGTGATCACCTGAAGGACAGAGACCGTAGCGGCTGCGGGTTTTTCTGGGGTTCCAAAAAAAATAACGTATACTGCTCCATTGCAGATACTCGATCTTCCCGTCGCCTCTTCATTGCAGATTTGATGTCTCTAAAATAGTATACTACTCCATTTATCACATCCTCTCTCTCTTTGTGTGTGGCCTTGTCTGTTTCTTTGGTCGTTTTCCCTTTTCTGTGTTTTTCACTTTACTACGTTGTTAATTAATTTTTGGTTGTCTTTTGTCTTGATTAGACGGGAATATTGGCAAGTTACTCTACATAAGTCCTACTCCTATATAACAAGCACGTGAGTCGTATACCATACATCAAACTTCATTAGACAGGATTATCTAACACTATATTAGAATCCTAATCAGGTCAATATACCCTCAGATTCTCAATGAGTTACAGTTGGTATTCAAAAGGAATATAAAGTGTTGATACCCAATTTTATCCTCATATTTTTCAAAATATATATACACTTTTAAAATAGCATATTTGCATCAATATTTAGTTTACAAACCCATACAAGCATTTTCTATAATTTTTCATAATTTTCAGAGCTTTAAATTAATTTTTCTGTATTTAAATTATATATAAATATCTAGTAATTATCCTTTTAAATTATTTTGTAATGACTTAGTTACCTAAAATAATTATTTGCACCTATAATATATGTTTCAAATATTTTATCTCATCCCATATAATTACATTAGCATATTTTAAGCTATTTATTTAATTTTGCAATAATGGTCTATATTCATATACAAATGCTCCTTATTTATACTATTTGTGTCAAAAATAATATTTTATATTTTTATAATGTTAAATCATTATGCTTAATCATTTTAGTGCATAAAAAATATATTCTACTCATTCACTAATTATTTTTATAAATTATTTTGCTAAATTATACGTGTTTAAAAGAGGTGGCCTAATTTTGAGTTATTCTCGGACCAGACAAACCCAAATCCCTGGCCCAAAACCTCAAGCCCAATCCCAGGCAACCCTGCCCAGTCCAAAACCGACCCAGACCCCCTTAAACCATAGCCGTTGATCAAGAATGATCAACGGTTCACAAACCTCAACCCCTCTTCTCTTATTGCCCTAAACCCTAGAGACCATTGTCTCTGTCTAGCCACCCTCAAACGCTCCTCCCCCACCAAAAACCCTAATCGCCGCCTTCCCCAAATTTTCTCCTAATCCCGGCTACAATGGGATTTTTCTCTTATTTACTTACCATATTTGTGTGTTTCCGCTACTGGTTGATTCTCCATGGTATGCTTAAACATGGCAAGTACTACCTCTCCGATTCTGTCTGAATGAGTCCTATTTCTTGAATCTGGATCGTATTCCGTCTACACGCGCCTGATTCTACACTGTGTGAGTCCGATTTCGTTTGGATTTCTGCTGATTTACACTTTCCCTAAAAACCTAGGGTTTACCGGATTCCTCTCTTAAATCGATTTCAAATTGATTTGCATGTTGTCTTTCCTTATTTGTTGCTTAATTTACTCGGTTTCCTTATGTGTTTGCTCGATTTTTGACTGCTATATAAAACCCCTCATTTTCCCTTCTGAGGGGGAACGGAAAAAGAATCGATTCTTACTAAAATTTGGTTTTTTTTTTTGCTACTCTCTTGCTTGGTATTCTGTAATGGCCGGCTGAAAGCCAATGCCATTAACATTTTGTTACCTGTTCTTGGTACGAGCATTGCCCTGAGTTCATCGAAGCTCTTGGGAACTTTGACGCATCGAGGTTTCTGGGTTCTTGTGGATCTTATGTTCTTCATTGTTGTCCGTTAACTGGTAAGCTACTTAACTCTTGCAATTTCATCCCTATGTGCCTTTGATTTGCATGTGTTCTCGTCTCTGAAATTCCTGGCTTAATATGTTTTTCTGGATTACTTTTGTGCACGATTTTGTTAATTCTACTTTGTTCTAAGTCTTTTAGCATCTAACTCCTTCCTAATGCTACTAGTTCTAAGTATGCCTCTCATGACCCAATTTTTTCTCTGTTGGGTATCGTGATGGCACCTAGTCTTAGAGACTAGGTAAGCCTAACATTTACTGAGTAACAACAATAACAAAGGAAATATAACAGTTTCGATATAGAAATCTTTACAAAATTTACAATTTTCCAAAACCGGTAGTATAAATCATAAGCTCTACAGAGTTTACTACAACTTCTAAATACAACTGTTCAGAAGTAAGTAAAAACAGTGTAAATACAAAATAGGAAGGTGACTCCAAAGCCTACGAACGCAGCGGCAGGTTTACCTTGAGTCTCCTCATTAAGGATCCGCACAGCTACTAACGATCGATACCTGGATCTGCACAAAATGTGCAGAAGTGTAGTATGAGCACACCACAGCGGTGCCCAGTAAGTATCAAGACTAACCTTGGTGAAGTAGTGATGAGGACTAGTCAAGACACCCACTGGTCTAATAAACTGAACAAGCATAAGTACAGGGATGACAGAACATGACATCTATCTAAGGACCCCACGATATGGCTAACGATATAGCAACTACAATAAGGAAGGAAAAACAGCAAGTAACTGCATAACACTAGAATAAGACATAGGAGAATGAACAGAAACACAACCCAAATCCGAAAATCACAATACAGTAAAGGCAAGTAGTAACTCAGCAACTGCAATAGTTTACACATCAGGTATCAGCCAACAAACCCCAATAAATTAGTCAAATTCTTCAAGTGTAAATTTTCACCCGTAAGTTTTTTTTTTTTAATAGAGGTCTTTAGAATATAATCCTTTCCAATAAGAAATTATTTTTGAAATATACTTCCTTCAAATAAATATCTTTCAAACATAGTTCTTTCAAGATAAAAAACTTTCAAATATAAACTTTTCAAATAATTAGCCTTCAAACATAGTTCTTTCAAGATAAATACTTTTCAAGTATAACCCCTTCAAATAAATATCCTTCAAATATAGTTCCTTCAAGATTTATACTTTTAAAATATAAACTTTTCAAGTAATATCCTTCTAGTATAAGTCACCCTATGACACCTAAGCATGGAAGATTAGCAGCTCTGAACACAAATATAACCACAGGGGAATCAATCGGGATACCATCCCGTAGTCCTGAATTAATTATGCAGTACGGGGGGGATTTTTCGGAATACATCCGTAGTCCCAAAATAAATATGCAGTGCTAGGGGATCTCCTAGAATACGTCCGTAGTCCGGAGTAAATATGCAAGACAGGGGGATCTCTCGGAATACGTCTATAGTCCCAATTTAAATATGCAGTGCTGGGGGATCTCCTGGAATACGTCTGTAGTCCCAAAATAAATATACAAGACAGGGGGATCTCCCGGAATACATCTGTAGTCCCAATTTAAATATGTAGCGCAAACAACAGAGATAACAATTATAACACGAC